TTGGTTCGTAATAAACGTTTTTTAAAAACAAGTTTTTTACATCCAGAAACAAAATTACTCTATCACTTGTAGGTAAACACGATCCGCTTATCAAGAATAGCTATGAGCAACACATTTCAAAATATTTTTATTTAAAATATTCGACGCATGTGTTTTTCAAAAAGTAAAACTGTTTTATAAACTATTAACAATTATTTAAAATCAAAATATTTGCAAATGTCGTGTTCGTACCTACTTTTCGAAATATCGACCGCCTTTTTAACACTTAAATCCATAACCTCGGAAGTTTATTTCTGTCTGAATGCGAGAATCTTGGCTCGTCATTTGCTACTGCATTGAAATTATTGTCTTCTCAAGCTTTAGTTTACTTTTATCTTATAGAAACGCTCATCTAGTGTTCCAGTTGGGTTGTTTGCATTGGAAAATCCACCAACAAATAAACGAGTTTTTCATTTTTTCACAAAATTGTTCATAGTTGTATTATTTTACTTTTATTTAATACTACAAGAGGATATTCAACTGTCACCCAAGTAAGCTTCCAATCACTCCTCCCTATGTTTCGCGGGCAAAATAAATAATACGAAAAAAAAAACAGTAAAGCGAAAGGAAGCCTAAAAAGCCGCATCAAATTTTCCAACCAGCGTTGCAGTCATAACTAATAATTACGAGCAAAAGTTGGTTAATTGCAACTTATGGCTGGTTCTACAGTTTTCCATTTCCCCCCAACAGAAAATCTGCCAGTTGCTTTTAGTATATGATAATATCAAGTACTTAGTACATTTAAAGTATGCGGTTCGCCGTCCAACGAATTTCGTTGTCCATTATTATTGAGTTAATGTTAGTACGTGCCCTCCAAATATTCCGTTTTATAACGGTTTTTTTTTTTTTGGTGAGGTTTGGGAAATGCTCTTTTATGCACTCCCAGAGCTGGTGGTCTGTCGCTCTGGGTTGTGTGGGACTCCAGCTAAGCTGTTTATCCACTAAAACCCTTTCCTCACCGCCGAGGTGGTGTTTGGCCTTGCACCGCGGTCATTTCTGCCCTATTGTGCCCT